AAAATAAAACAATTCAATTGTTTTTTCATATTTTGAATTTAAATTGTCTTGTTCCATTGAAAAAAACTTCCTCAAAACAAGAAAAAAATCCACTTTTTAAAAAAAATGTTATTACTTATTGAGATTTCCATTTTTTTGTTTGTTTTTTTTGTTTCATTTTGTGGTTTTATTAAAGGCAAAACTATTTATAGATAGAAAAATGTCTCTCAAACATTAAGAAATTGGGTTTAAGGGAGGGATAGGGTTAGTTTTTTGCTAATACTAGAAATACTTCTAAAACATCAGATTTTTAAAATTCTATTTTCTGTAGATTTTACTGATTTAAATGGAGATAAAATTATGATTTGTAGAAAAAAGGAACGTCACAATTTATAATATCTAATATCTTTTATGTAACGTTTATCTTTAAATAATATTTTCACTTTACAGTAACTGGATATTTGCTGTAAAATGCAGTTAAATTTTACAAGGACACCTGACAGCAAAAAACCTTTTGGTTATTAGGGTTTGGCTCTAACCTTTCTGCTCTATAGCAAGATTAAAGCTGTTTGGGATTACAGTTATATTAAGGTTAGAAGTACAGTACAGTACAGTGTATTTCATGTAACTTTTCTGACATGTCTATAGATAAATGTATATAGATAAATACATTTTCTCTCAAACATAGGCTTAAACATTTCTACATTGACCAAATATCATCTTCACTAATGATGTCTATGGATTTAACTGAAAAAAATAAACATTTGAAATAGTAATCAAAATAAAATAAAAGCTTAAAGAAGCTTTATTTTTTATTTTACAGCAGCAGAATATTTGCTGTATCTGTGATTAAATTCTAGAGCCTTTTCATTTAAAAAGAAAAAGCAACAGTAAACATTAACCTTTGTAGTTCTTGTGGTTTAGTTGCCTGTTTTTCTCTCTAACAAGATATAAAGAAGCTATTTTATATTACTTCTATTTAAGGCTTAAGATTAATTTCATGGCTTTTCTGAGAAATACTTAGATACTGATGATTATTGCAAAAAAGAAGAAAAAAAAACACATCTTTTTCCTGTATATTTGTTTAATTGCCTCAGACATGAAATCAAACATGTCCTGTTGAAAAAAAACCTTTGCAGAGGAATCTTCAAAAGGATTTTAAAAATCAAACAGTTCTGGATTGTTTCTATGAAGGTCATTTTCATTAAGTATGTGTGCACTTTGGCTCTGAATTTAAATTTGCAAAGAGAAATAAAATAGAAGGTTTGCAGAGTTTACTAAGTTTTATGCTGCGTTCGCACCCATCTTGTTATTGGCATCCGTGGAAGCCGGTCTATGAGGAGTCAGGAGGTCCTGAGGCTCATTTAAATCATGCGGTGAAACCAAGAAGAATTCCAAAAAGTAAAAAAAATTATCCACTGGACTTTGTTTCCAAGTCTGAAGACGTATCTCTTCCATCCAGGAAGATTTTTCAGTTCAAAATGTCAGAAATAACCCGAAATAAATATGCTTATCCAGCAGCCCAACAAAGCCTGGT